CAGTTTCTTACAACAATTGGTGTGTGTAGAAACACGTGGACTGACGAAAGAAGGCGTCGGAGTGCTGCTACATCGGCATAAGTGCCGTAAAGATCTGACAGTTAACTTAGAATGCTTACCCCGAAGACCGGGGAAGATCACAGGGAGCGGTACGCCCAGTGGGGAAGAACACAGGCACTGACAATTCGTAGTATCAACTCACGAGGGACAGAGGAAACTATTAGGCGAGAGGCGTAGGATAACAACCTTCGAACTTTTGTGAAAGCTTCATAGTTCAGTACCACACCTAGGTACTTCACTGGTGTGGCAGAGTGTAATTCATCGTCGTCACTAAACAGTTTGAGACGCTGTGTAAGAAGCTGCGCGTACCTTTTTCCGTTGTGCAGCGAAAAAGGAATATCATGGCACTTTGATGCATTAAGAGACAGGTGAAGAGCTTTGGACCAAATATTCTGGTTACTCGGATGGTTTTGCAGCCTATGTGAGGGATCGGCGGTTTGATGATTAATGACCAGGACAATGTGGTCAGTATATTGTAGTAAGGTCGCTTCTGTGGGGACTGTCACTGAAATGCCTTAAGTAGAGAGGAAGGAAGGTGACAGAATTGCTCGCTGAAGGGCACCGGAGTTGGTGATTAGTGGGGAGGAGCACCTGCCACTGCGTCTGGTAGTCTGAGTGCGTCCGGTAAAATAATCACTAAGCAAATAGACGATGGAGGGATGTTTTCCTTGAATGAATAAGATCATTTAGCAGCAATTCGAGGTTTACGCAGCCGAACGCATTTTCATAATCAAGGAAGTACAAATGAGTTGATTTATTTCTGTTGTCTAGTGACGACAGTACAGAATGCATGAGGCAGGCCACTGCAACTAGAGTAGATCTTGAACTGCGATAAGCGAATTGAAGGGGGTCAATGGAGCGAGTTTGGGATAGCATCACTTCAAGAAGGATTTTCTCAAGTACTGTCAAAGCAACAGAAATGCAAGCGATAGGCCGATACCTGTTGGATTTTTTTCTCGGCACTGGTGTGATACTGACACTTCTTTAGCAGTCAGCGATTATGTGTTGCTGTATACACACTTTGTATACAGGCGCAACAGACGTTGCCAAAAAGTCAGCACATTCTTTAATTACGAGGGGAGATATCTTATCCGAACTGTTGGCTCTACCGTAACGTAGACGTTTTAGTAAATTATTCAGTACAGCACCGTCGATGGTAAGCAAAGACTTCACGGACCCTGGAAACTGGAAATAGTAAGGCTATGGGGATATAGTTGTATCGCAGTTACAAAACTGTTCAGTTCCTCTATATTCGTATGGGAAGATGGTGCACGTCGGGCAAATCCACTAAGCTGTTTCAGCATACTCCACAGCCAGCAACAGTTGCCGTTCCCAAACATAGACTGGATACAAACTTTGTTAAGTCCACGTAGCTTCTCCTTGATACGAACAATAAGGGACCAACTGAGATTCCGTCTTTTTCTTTATACGTTTTCTCCTTGAGTCGACGCAGTCACTTCGGGTGGGGGAGGAGAAACTTTCAGCGCGAACATAGAGAGTTACCCATGGACCCATGGTTAAAGAATAAACTAGATTCTGTAGATCCAACCATTGCACGAAGTCGGTTGATAGTTTGTATTGATCATTGCCTCCAACTGCACTTTCCATCACTGCAGCGAGTGATATCCTGAAGGTTAGATTTTCTGTGCATGACGGGAGAAATTTGCTTGCTGTATGTTTAGAACCGCCAATTGGAGCCCGATTACATACAGAGAACCAATTTGTATTAGTAACGAACACACTGGATCCAAAGTTATGTCTAATCTGGTAGGTGAATTTATCATGTTCCGCAATCCCATAATGGTGAGAAAAATGATATTAAATCTGTTGAAATCTCCGGCGAAGGCACAAATAGAACGGTCGATATGTTCTATGACGGCTGCCGTAAATTCGTTGTGAAAACCCTCTGATTCAATTTTAAGACAGGAGGATATATCCGGGTGTTAGCCAACAATGGTGGACGGTAGCCAATCAAACATTTCGGCTTGCTTTGTAGGACTAAGCAATTAGTGAATTGTGAAGGGAAACAAAAGGGGCATTTTGTTGCATTACACCAAGATGAACTGGTGTAACTAAGTACTCCACCACCTCGGTTTCGGTATGTGCATGGGCGCTCAACCCGATGGTAAATAAATTCTCCAACCGATAAGATAGCATTAGCTACTTCTTCGTGGAGTCAGGTTTCTTCCAACGTAATGCTGCTTAGCTGCAAAAATTCTTTGGTAGAGACTGTATTCGCTACTTCATCGATTTTTCCAACGAGCGAAAGGATGTTGTCCCTAAGCAATACAGGTACGCTCAGATCTCCGAATATTTTCTCACGAAGGGCGACCCTTCATCCAGCACGATGTTTTCGTACAGAAATGCTACAAATGTCATAAATTCTGTTCAAATTGCCTTTATAACACAATTATAGGAAAATAGTTTTATCATAACGCGCTGTTCAAAAATTTTAATTTCTTACGTGAAAACAGTAAAAAACGAAAAAACGTCACTTCAAAGTGTCAACTGTAATCTATTGATATTAACGATCGTTTTATGTGTATTAGGAAATCACGCGGTTTCTGGCAATGTACTTCGGTTGCCAGCTTTTTCAATTTCCACATCATATATGTAGCCCAAGAGCAGACTGATATACACCAAGCGAACTGCTAGTTTAGATACTACTAAGTATGTTCCTGTTATTTTATCCGCTTTCTCGTCATAATAAAAGCACGATGAGATGCGATTGTGCTGATGTTACTGTATTCAAATCCAGCCACGCTGCGTTGTCTCATGAGAGTTGCTGGAGATAGACAGTTTATAAATGATACGAAGATTTGTCTAAGGTTACCTTTATTGAGTGACTTGGTGGTGACACAGGAATTCCTCATTCGCCTTCGGCGCAATGAGGAACTACATACGTGGAAGGCAGATAAGCTTTCTGGTTCATCATACTTCTAACCGTTTGAGTCGAGTGGCAGCAGTCACACCGCAAGGATTTCACACATAGTAATTCATGCCCAAGCTGCTCACAGTCAAGCAATCTCTCCAAGCTAGTCTAGCGTACGGTATTGCCTTAGCTCCCGAGGTACCCGTCTGTACAAATACCTACTTCGAACACTTACGTAGAACTCTGCGTTTCCAATTGCTGCACAGAAATGGCAACACATTTCAAATTATTGGCGAACAGTTAAAGTTAATTAGATCCGACCGGGGATCATCACTTGTATGATGTTCCCGAGAAAAAGAATTTGCAACTTCAGGTCGTATTAGTATCCAATAGGGGCAGGTAGTGCAGTTAACAGCGCAAATTCCCAACTTACAAACGGACTAGTAATGTAACCTCTTTACTACCATACTAGTAATACTGAACACAAAAAGAAACTTGGATATGAGGAAGTACAAAGTAAAGCAGGATAATATGATCGTTACTTAACCCCTGAAAGACTGTGCCATCTGTGAGGCTTATCAAAAACACGGTTGAAGTTCGTTTCTATCAAACTCCTATTAACTGGCTACCAGTTACTTTTCACATAATTTTAGTTGCTTAAAACCGTTTAACCTGTTGTGCGACGGCTAACTGACTTAAGACAAAAGGAAATCACCTAGTTTGTTCTATTTTGTCCCTAAGAAGAAAGACATAGAAGTACGCCGGTACTTAGTACCGAAGCTTCCCTGCCGCGCAACCGCCAGCTGTCTCACGTGGGCTAAGGATACGACGAACGTCGACGTGTCCCTACGCAGGCTTGAACCTGTGCCGTCAGAGACTACAAGACAAGCTCGTTATTTTTAGGCTACGAGCCGGCCTTCGTTAAAACGAACAAGAGAATAGCTTGTTACAAAAGATCAAGCAAGAGCGTTTTGTCATTAGACAGGCACATCATAAACCAGTAAGACGAAACAGGGAAAAAGCAGGCCATTAGTATAAGGCCGGTAAATTTTGTCAACGCCTCGCTGCCATACAGATAATGGTATCTACATAGAAGGCTGGAAAACTGCAACGTTGCCAGAAACCATGTGGACTCTAATCCATGAGCTGTCGTTTACGGGCTAGATATTTGAACTGAGCAGGTCGAGGTTTCGTCAGCGCACTGGTATATTTCAGCTTGCAGTGTCACTAATATTATTGTGTGATATGCCAACCCCAAAGGCGAGACTGTAATAGATGCCTAATCAAAGTCAGTGGCTGGATACATTGTTCTGTAAAGTACAGTACTTTACAGGAAAATAGATCACTCCATTTGTTATCTTTGGAAAAACATCAGCAGTTGTATCGAATAGTAATTATGAAATTTTCTCTAGTATGATCGTTATAAAAGGATAGCGGATGCTGATGAACTGAGATCGGCATGCGCTGTAGTAATCATACATCTGATCGACTAGATGATGGTCTTAGTGCATAAAATCAGGCCAAGGCAGAAATATCTCATTTGTCCAGAACCATACAAGCGTTGTGATTTAGTTTCATGTAAACTTTCTAGTTGGTCGTCGTTCCAGGATGCTACAAAAAACTCATCCGCTGCTTTTGCATTTTATGGTGCTAAGGAGAATTGGCTTAGAGCAAAATTGCAACCATGTGTCCGCAGGAAATGTGGATATATGTGTCTGGTAATATTCTAAGTTGAATCTAGTTAATGAGTTGAAAGAAGTAGTTTGCTGGAAAGTCGTATGCCCATCAGGTTCTCGTTTGTTTTTATATCCGACTTTTTACACTGACACTGTTTAGCTGTTCGTTTAACCTTTTTGTTTTCATTAGACGTTTGTTATGGTTTACTGCCAATGGATAGCTACATAGACATACACGATTAGCCGCACCACGGTATTTAGAACACGGTTGACCAATACTCGACGCGAACAATAATAGTTGATCCAGCACTAAAGCTAACTCAATCTAATTCAAACTATGCAACAATGTAGTTACAGGTAGAATAGGTTTCACGGCACGAAACGAAACTTACCACCGGTGGGCATGATATATTCAAGAACAAAACGTGTCCTATCTTTTCCGATTGCGCATTCTAACCCGTTCAATTCTTGCTCCACAGTACATGGTGTTAGCCTTTCACTGTAGTAAAGCTGTTTATAATTCCTTTGAAAACGAATACCTCGAAATGCTTTGGAGGAATTTAGTCATTAATCTGCCGTCTAAGTCTTGAAAATGCATGGCCATCTTAAGAATGGTTTTCTTTTGTAACTCCTCAGTACCGTCTGCAATCAATGGTGCAATAAGTATGGGTGTGCTACCACTTGAGTTATCCAATACGTCTCCAATATATTGACCAAGATTAACAGTAGATTCCATGTTAAAGCAAGAAAAGCGATCACCAAGTATATTCGCCATAGGATCGGGGTTAGCTGAAATATTAGATTTTGTGGATGCATTTCGGAATGTAAAAAATGCATACATTCAAGACAACTTCGCACTTCGGACAAGTAACGCGTTCCAGAAGCATTAATGATATGAACACATTCCTCAAGGCAAGAAACCGAAAACTTGAATCCAGCGTCACCAACAGGCTGTATGGATGCAAGGGGCGACCCAGCTGAGTCCTTGTTATTCGAAATTGCACCTGTTTCCCTGGAAAGAATAGTAAAGCTGGATCACATGCTTACGTTTTCTGATAATTAGTCATATCTTCAGGGGTAAGCTTCGTTCTCCAACACAATGGCTTTTTGAATACTATGTTCAGCGCACATGGATTTACTTCACCATAATGGAGTATAAAATTCGTTATCTCATGCAGAAGTTCTTCATTGACTTTTGCAAGATCTTGCTTTCCTGCTAAGTCTCCGCTTGAAGACATCCATTCTGTTGCTCGACTTATCGTGCTACCCATTTAACGTTGATTTGCGGTTGTTCGAATCGGCGTCAAAGTAGATCCAGATGGCTAAAAGTAGAGAACATGTGCGCTATCAATTAACTTGCAACACAGTGGAGTTCAGTAGTGTAAGAAAGCATAAACAGAGTAGGAAAGCGGTTTGCAAATAAGCGCTCATCCGCACTAGCCAACAGGTCAGGTCAGGACCCAAAGACGGGGTTGGTTTTCGCTTAATCAGTGTCATGCTTCCTTTGTCGCCAAGCAAACCAAGATCCTCGGCACTTTGACGTTTGACTAACTCTCCATGCTTCTATAAAAGAAATGAAACACGAATAAGAGCAACCTTTGCAATTTTCGTGGAACAATATCAGATTGCATTACACCCATCGCAGTTACAAATTGCACTAAAAGTGCGATAACTGTGGAGAAAGATCTGGCCTGAACTTACCTAGACGCATTTAGGATGTCACTAGAGTTTCGTATTCTACTAACTTAGAGGGTAGTTTATTGCAGCTAGTCAAAACAAGATTGAAAATTTATTTACCCTTATATTCTGCTTGATCATCTTCTGTTTGGGCTTTAGATTATGTCGGCGTAAGTGATCCGACAAGACTATCCAGAAAAAGTCGATGAGTTAGTTGCTACTGTGGCCCTACATTATTCCAAATATTGCTAAGCAGTACTGGGGATTTTGGTATAATTACGCAACTCATCACAGTCCATTCTCAGTCAGTAGCGTTGGCAACTCTGGAAAAGCACCAGACAGCGAGGCTTCAACCTTCTAGGTCACATCGGTGGTGGGCCTGTTACGGACCCCTGCCGGGTTCCGACCCCATGACTTCCGGATGCCAGCAGCTGGTGCCACTTAGCCATGAGTGTACTGTGAAGGAGTACCTCTGAATAAAACCATGTCTGTTACAAAGATGCCTCCTCTTGATTAAGTATGCAATTTCAAAGTCAAATTGACTGAACTTTCGTCAAAATGACGAGTGGCGCAGCTGCAACTTAATAAAAAAGGTTACACAAGTAAGCTGCTGCATCACACGATATATCAGTCGGTGTACACTGGAGCAGCAGTTGAAGAACGCTGGATCGGTGTCTTCTATGCCCTTGACCGTTCATTGAGAGTTAATATGGACGAATTTCGATCACTCAGAAAGTTGGCTCAAAGTAGCCTTAACATACACCGCGAATTCATCTTTTCTGGTCATAAACAATAGTCGCGCTGGTCAGAAATCGATTCCCAAGGTCTCATGATGCAGTACAGTAAAAGTTAATTATCTCATTGGATCCTTTGATGGCAGCTATCAGAAACGAGATCCTGTGTCAGATCCATCACTTTCTGGGTATTGCAGAGATAATTACAGTCATTGCGAAACAAAGTTCTGTAGTCGATCTATGGCAGTCTGAAGATTTTCCAAGTTGCCTGTGTTAAATTCTAACTAAAAGTTTTATTTCATTGCACACTTAGGCGACAGGTGTGGATTATTGAACTGCATGTTGAATCCCATTGCTTGGGTAAATGAACAATGAACAATGAAAGATGATTTATAATGGATAGAAAAAACAGATGCTTGACATGTCCCGTAGGGTGTTAAGCGTGACAAAAAATGATAGCAAAGGGATAATGGAGTCGTCAGTTCGGGCGCTTACAGATGTAACTGCACTGTCGTATAAATGGAGTATGAAATGAGAATGTACGCACACAAAGCAACAGGGAAGTGGTTACTGTCCACATCATAGGCGAGAAAAATAAAAAAGATAGCAAGGACAACGCTTACTCGTGTGCAACTATCTTGGCTCGACAGGATACAGAAATCCAGTTTCTATAGTAGTAGCGTTTATCAAATTACGTGCAAGACGTTTGGAGTGACTCATTCTCGAGTAGGGTTATGTCACCGTCATTGTCTGGCGGTCGGATCCGCTGTAACGAACAATCGTTCTGTGTGCTGTGCACTTCTTCATTCTCCCTATCTAGCAGCGTCAACGGCGTCGCCTTCTATAGCTAGGCCGAAAGAGAGCCTTTTACTGTACAAAATTAATTCTTGCCTGCAAGTCGATCTACCTTCTGGAATCGCTATCCGGGCTCACGCTAAAGACCCAGTATACTCAGTAGGTAAGAACCCATCTGTTGTTTGAAACGTCCCTTTGCCTGCGCTTCGACAGCGGGCTCCGGTAGGCAGTTCAAGCAATTCACCACACAAGTAGATCATCATCATGGTTGGGAGGGTAGAGCAAGCAACGTCGGTCCTCACTCTCGTTCAAATACGCGGGACAAGCAGCTATCCCCACACTATTACGGTCAAGTCATGTGTCTGTCTCAGTGCGTTCAATCGGGCGATCAAGTGCACGAGTGAGCTTTTAAAACACATCTGCTTGTACCGGAACCGCATAATCGAGAATAGAGCTTTCGTGTGCTGATCCGGTGTGTCTTTTTCCTTTTGCTGTGGCTGGGAGACACAGACAAGCAACAATTATTATCAAGGAACGTTAACTGAGGGTAAGCGAAGCACGTCAGATAACGTGCCGCAAAACAAGCAATATACGTCATTATACACTACGGACTATAGAATCTAGAAGGTAACACAATGGTAAATTTCAAATTATGCATTGGGTACTGGATTTTTACTAAAAAGGGAAGCTAGAGGGTAAGGGAAGGGTAAAGAGACTGACAACACTAACACTACTGAGGTAAGCTCTTTGACATATCAACTAGTGTATCGAGGCAAACGTTGTAATCGTTTTTCGGACTCTAAACCCGAAGTCAAGGAATAGTAATCGATGCCGAATTCGAAGTGAGGACCATCATTCCTCTTGACCAACTCATTGCTTGGCCTTCCATCCTCTCCCACCATCCATCCCCACGCAAGTTGATATAACTAGGTTGGACCGCATTCAGAGTCTCCTTGGTTTGAACGGTTTCCAAAAATGAACCCATGTGGACCTCTCAGCCTTGAGATGAAAGAACCTATGTAACTCACTTTCCAACTCTACTCCAAAAATATGTCGTGTGACAATGGAATCTAAGCGGTAGCAACGGTAATCCGAAGGGAGTAAGATAAGCCCCGCAACCCATAGCCGGATTATGATACACGCCGCGAGTCACCCACAAAACATTTTTGAGTAACCGAGGTAACCCAAGCATATCACATTGGGATAACTAAGCGCACATAAAATGGTCACTCAGCAGCAGCCTATTGGTCAGCCGGGGTGACCAGATGTGAGATTATGAGCTAGGGCTGGTAATGAATGAAGGAATGCATGTATGATGTATTATAACGTCAACCGTCATACGCTGGCAAAGCACACCTTATTTGCTTGTCTTCTACAGATTTCTAGTAGAGGCGAATAAGGCATCCAAATGAGACAGCCGACTGCCTACCTGTAGAAAAAGGATAAATAGAGGTATGCCACCAAATTTTATTTGTGACTAATATGCATAAAAGTATATGAAAGCTCCTGAGAAGCAATCAGGGCTTCATCAAAGGCAGATGTGTGATTGCATTATGCACCTGGATCCATACATTTTCACAGGCAAATTCATGCGTAATGCTAATAAGTTAGCGTGTTGCAAAAATCAAAATAAGTTGCGGTGCATTCAAGTTCATGCGGCCATCAATTCATTTCCTCCCTGAGGATGTACATGCACGCATTACCAGTGACCCTGTCATTGGTCATGGGACACTAACCAATGGGACTCCCTGGATGTAAGCACAGGGTTAGATGTATACGTCTATGGGGGATAGGTATGCTCCCGAATAGGTTGACACATTGCTGTTGACGGATAGCAAACAGGGATGAGTGTGTCAGTGCTACAGGTCACAAACAATATGCATGACTGTAGATGGTCAACCTAGAAGGAGGTGTTTGAATGTCCTCCCTCAGCGCCTCTTTAACTGCTCTTTTGTCGGAAAGTGTTACCAATGGTTTGTATTCTGACCCGGCCGGTAGCCGGTGTCCAGGTGCCAAAATTCTAGCACGTGTCCGAGCAGTCTGATCGGTCCAAGGTGCACTGTACAAGTGGCACATTTAGGCTCCAGGTTAGTATTGCCTCTGGTCGAAACAATATACCGCATGAAACTAATACTACTACTAATACTACTACTACCACTGCTATACGAATACTACTACCACTACTATTGCCACTACTACACTGTATACTACTATTACAACTATTACTACTAATACTACAGTTAATGCTATTACAAATAAATCAATAATAATAAAATTATAAATAATAATACTACTAATAATAATGGTCATATTTTCCATTAAGTAAAAAGTCGTGACAATATTTCGCGCAAAATATACACGCACAGGTGCTGTCATGCTTTTGCAAGATCAATATCACGTTATCTTCTTATATTTGTCTGTATTTCTGGCAAGGTATTTGCCCCACATGTTCGTCTTATGCGATGGTAGGGGGCAAATTTGCAGTTTGCGTATGTTGTAGACACTGAAGAATAATTACGTTGCGTGAATTGGTGATATTGCACCCATTAGACATTATCTGGACTTTCATTAAATGGATGTTCAAATGACCTTCCCCACGAACAAACCACATAATGGTGTCCAGGTAGAGGTAGCTTCCCAACTTACTGTGAAAGGGTTGCGCAGTCTCACGCGATCTTCTGGTGAACGACACCCGATTCCACAGCGAAACATATATGGTGTGACGAAAGTTGAACCGCAAATATGTCTTGAGTCGTAGTATAATCAGGGTAATGTATTTGTTACCCGGTCTCGCGTGTAATTGTGCTGCAATGTTAAAGACAACTCGATTGCAATGGGTATTGCCATGAATCCGATTGTGCAGCGGTCTTCCGTTGTGGTTTAGTCTTTTACAATCAAAGCGCAACGTGCTTAGTAAACGACCGTTGAAGGCTTACTATGGATGTTCTGTCTGATTTCCTCACACTGCCTCAGGTTATGCTGCGATACTCCAGGATGGGATGATTAAGGATTGTAAATAGTTCAACTGTAACTGTGATTGCATGTATGTCATGAGAGATATATTA